ACTGCGCCCAACACCCTAAGGCGTAAGTTGACAAGTCCCATGTGCCTGTAATTTCACCAGTATCCCTATTATCTTATAATTTCATCAGTATCCCTAGTATCCTAGATATCCTTACCCTTCAAAACCGGCAGCGCTGTAATGCTCAGATTGCTGCTTGGCGGCAGAAATAGGTCAGGTGGCAGTACTTCCCTAGACGAACTCCTTCACAAGGAGCTCTACTGTTAGTACTAAAAAAACCGTCCTCAAAAGTTAGTGGAATTACATCTATTTGCCAAGTTTTCTTGAAATCGCTTACCGGAAAGTGCGCAAAACCGAATTCATCCCCAACTTTACCACCCTTAGAGGTGGAATACAAAACAATATTAATAAAATTAGACAATAATATAATCCCGGACACATAATTGGAGCTACCTCGCATTTTTGTCGTAAAGGGTGAAATACAAAAAAGTGTTATCATAGAAGAAAAAGTTTTCCTCGGTTTTGCTATTCCAAATTCCCAACAAGGAGTTATCGAAAGGACGTTTAGTATACTAGTTACAAAATTGCATAACAGTTTTTGATCAATCAAAAATATGATTAAGCTTAGGCAGTTAATACTGAAAATGCGTGGTAGCTCGAATTATGTGTCCGGAAATGTATATAGGTATATATATGTATATATCTTTATGGAAGAATATTATCGACTGGAAGAAATGCGAAAGCCTAAACTACACAACTTAATTTGAAGTAGGCGTGTCGCTGCGCCTAAATTACACAACTGAATTTGAAGTTGGCGTGTCGCTGCGCCTAAATTATACAACTGAATTTGAGGTAGGCGTGTCGCTGCGCTTAAATTACACAACTGAATTTGAAGTAGGCGTGTCGCTATATTAACTTGTGATTTCGATTAACATTGGACATTGTCCGGTTTATAAAAACATTTGTTATTCACAACTAATCTATGCAATATATGTATATAATTTTATATGTAGTATATTTGTCGAGGATAATGCAACTCCGCGTATATTGTATTGGTAACAGGCGCGTATCTATACTAAACCAAATTTCACAGGAAAGGGCTTTAAAGGTATTACTTTGATATTTCAATGGCTACGACTTCCAGTTATGCACAGAAAGCATTAATTTATTTTGTCTACGGACTGATAACAATAGATTCCCGTAAGTTACGCTAATGTGGTTGCCACGACATTTACGCGGATTTAATTTGGCCACTCATAATCAAATACTAGTTACGCGTAATTGCACTATCCCAAACGGTATATACATTTATGTATATAATTTTTGGTCATTTTATGTGTTGTATATGTAGTTATATAGCAATTTTATTACTGTACGACATTTTATCGTAATACATCTACCCATTATACACTACACCGCTGAGCACGGATCTACTTTAACGAGGGTCCAGGCCATTGTAAAACATTTAAAATATATAACCGGAAAGACAGAACCCAGCTCCAGCTCTTCATTCTTATAGCCGATATTTTAGGTCACACATCTACCCATTATACATTCCACTGTTAATTACGGGTCTACTTAAAAGAGAGGGTCCATGCTATAGTGAAACATTTGAGATATATAGCTGAAAAGACAAAACCCCGTTCCAGCTCTTCATTCTTATATTTAAATTTTTCCAGCTGTCTGGCAGCTGCCTAATTTTATTACCAGTGAGTGTCATCTTTGAAATTTCCCTGACGAAAAAGCACTATTTCCCTTCTCGTTCGTATTTGCACTGTCTCTCCCCAGTGAAGCTGCAAGAAATTATTATTACTCCTCCATAGCTAACCGTAAAGGCTTATGTCCGACAATATCTCTTCAGTTATAAATAAACGGGATAATTTCCCTTCTTATTCATGTCTCCACCGCAGCTTGATTTTGATTGCCTCTCCCGATCGGAAACTGCGTCTCTTCCGAGTCGAGGCGCATAATTGCGATTCACAACTGGCCTATCGAAAACTTTTGTTATTTCTAATCGGAACAATAGTTAACTCACAAATGATCGATTCCTATTTGAATCAAAATCAGGACGTCGGTCTTTCCACCAGTAGACTTATAAGAAATTTAAATTATTAATTCTCTACTACTGTCTAACATCATCCAGTTACTCGTCACTTAATGATAATCTCCACAATTCTCCACTAATTTTCTCCACCAATTTATACAAGCACTTTTCTCAGGCAAGCGTTAGTTCGTAGTCCGCCACGCTGGAACAATGCGTGTTGGGGCCTTCACACGTTTCCCGAAGGTTGTTAACCTTCTTCGACGTGCAGGTTTCATTACAAAAGCTCATGGTCAATTTCAAATTAAATCTCGCACATAAATTCCGAGAAACTAAAGATGTTCGAGACCGGATTCGATTCCACGGCCTTTGCTTGAGAAGCGACAGTTCTAACCATTAGGCAACTATGGCTTCTTTGAAAATTATATCGCACAGAATGACTTTGCACAATGCAAAATTTTTAATTTTGAGTAATGAGCAATAAACGAAGATTTTTGAATGCGGTTTTCAGTTATAATAAAAGGGAACCTACTTAGTTTTAGTCACGTCGCCAACACTCACGGGGAGGCCATTAAGTCCTCTTAATTTGTTGGTGGACTTCCAGAAATTACAGAAATCAGAATCAACGCAAGTTTATCCATTTTAATTTGGTCTTGGTAATTTTAACACCACTTAAGCCTGCCTTTAAAAATACGTTTGGCTTGAACCATATCGTGATAGACTGGTCCAGACCTAGGACAACCGTACCATTCCCACTTCACTCTGCAACTGCGTAGAGATGTTGCATCGCTTAGCGCCTTTTACCGCATGTACCATGGTGAGTGCTCTGAAGAGCTGTTCAACCTCAAGGGGGGCCTTCCCCGTTCCTGCTCAGAAGCACGCGTGCTGGCCTTCGTAGTCACCGTTTCACTACCTGCCGCATTCCATCGCGTACTAAAAGGTTCGGTGGCTCCTTTCTCTGCCGCACGGTTGACAAATGGAACTCCCTTCGTCTTCCCTCCCTGTTATAATATGGGGTCCTTCAAACAAGGCGTGAAAAGGCATATTGTAGGCAGGCAGGGTGGCGGTGGCTAGTGCAGTGAGGGTTCCATCGCTGCACTAGGTTCCTTCGCGTTTGGATACCACTTTCCACTTAACATCGGGTGGAGTCATTTGCCTGTCATGTATAAAAAAAAAAACTAACTTGGCCTTGGCCTCACCATGAGCGGTGGACACGTGCTCATTCCGCCCTGCAACACATTCACCACGACGACGTCTCTTCACACAATACGCTGAGACCACCTGATACCACCTACCACAACAAAATAAATGTATTTTGAGAATTTCCTTTAGCATCACAATTCTTCATAATCTTTTCATGTCAATTAATATTTCTTATTATGCAATATCGTTACAAAGGATTCATTTTAATTATTCAAATTATGACATGAAATTTAATTTTAAACTTATCCACTAACCAGCGTAGATCTGGCTCTGCAATTCTGTACTATATTAGTCTTAATGCAAAACGACATCATTCAAAAAATGACGATATCCTTCCGGTGTGACTAGTAAATTGTTACACAACTCAGCGATCTGACACTACAAAAAAATATCACTATCGCGCTGTCTCCTGTACCCCGTTCCCCTCACGCCACATGACGTCATTACGTCATGTAGCAAAATCTAGGCAAACAACGTACACGGGGGTTTTTGGATTATAAAGTTCGTACTCTCAAATCCAAGATGACGTTAAAAAAAAATTATTTCAGTGTGATACGATATACGAATATATGTACAGTGCATTGACTTACATATAATTGTAAGTCAATGGTACAGTGCTTCTATTTTCTTAATGTCACTCGGCAAACTTCGTGATTCGGCTGTCGCCGGGTTTTATTCAGTTGCCCTTTGCCTTTGGTACAGACCGGACGCTTTCAGTCGACTTGGAATTATATAGAGTTGCTATGCTATTAAATTTTTTATTTATTATCCAATGGGAGGAAAGCCGCTGAAGTCACAGACGTGACGAATAATTTACAGCGTGTACTTGTATTTTTTACACAAAGCCGATACTAAAGATGTGTAGAGATGTTGGCCGGATACCGGATATCCGGCGAGTACCTAGGCCGGATATCTGACACGCTGCCGTAAACATGTTGCAACCGGTTTAAAGCGCGCATCACCGTGATTGATTGGTTAGTAAATGATTGCACTTTCACATTGACGATTTGACAAATCAAATCGTCAATGCACAACAAAGTTGTGGACAATTGGTTTTTATAAAAAATGATTAATTTATTCGATAATACAAACAAATACATAACAGAAAAATATTAACAGTAAAAAAAAATCGCAAAGTTGGATCTATTTATAAAAATAAATAACACCAACTTTTACCACTTAATGCAGAAAAACTGGTCTTCATCCACTATAATTTGCCTTTACTGAAATTTAAGTATACTAAATTTACAGGTAACGTTATCTCTAACTTCATAATTATTTCAGTTACAAGTAATAAACAGATTATCAACGATCCTGTAGTTGCTGTATATTCTATTACTAGCATCTTTAATCAATAAATCAATTTATTTGGCGTATCGGTTATGAATTTTTCTCAGTTTTAAATATCCGGTATCCGGCCAGATGGTAAAAATAGGCCGGATAACAGATAGTCTCCGGATATCCGTTTCATCACTATTGAACGTATTCAGCAGTGGTGGAAAGACAACAACGGTTAAAAAGTCCAATAACGTTTATCTGTAGCTTGTGGTGTTTCAATCGAAACAGTAAAGAATATTTTAAAAGAATATTATAAAAAATATAAATCAGTTTCTTTTCCTTTACTTTATATTTTTGTTAACTTGCTAGAGAATTAGTTTTTTACAGCTCTATATAGTTCACACGGAACTCAAAACAAAACAGTAAAGTACGTTGTTCAAAATTCAAATTATTACAGATTTTAAATCTAATAATTAATGGGCATGGAAATTAATATTCGTGTGCATTCCGAAATCTGATGATTGCCGAGAGATATTGAGAAAATAGAAGCACTGTATATAGATTTTGAAGTATTTAAAACAAAACCATTACAAAAACATCGTACAGTGATAAAATACCACCCTAGAGTTACAACACTTATATAAAGACATTCAGCGTGCGGTAGCAGTCTCTACTAATTTCTGGTCACAATTTACGTATTTTCTAGCGCAGATTTTTTTGGGCCGAGACTAAGTTCACCTCGTGTATAACGTTTCAGATCGCAAAATACTTTTGCACGGAAAGGCTTTCTTTCTCATTAAAAATTTGCGCGCAAAAGCGTTTTTTCCACGTTAGCATGGAAAAGGTTTTTCCATGCTAACGTGGAATTAGATTCGAATAGTTAGATTCGAACTCGACGATGGCCTGTGGTGCACCTAACTTTTTCTTTAGATGACAAAAAACATGACACGTTGAACTACGCGATTTGTCCCACATTATTTATGTAATATAAATACGCAGGCATAGTTTATTCTTATTATTGTTGACATTAAATTGACAACGATAACTAATTTTGTTTATTAAAACTGATTTGTTATAGTTCACCGGTTTTTCCTTTTTCCTTTTCCATTTTCCTCGCTAAAGTGTGGTGAAGTTGTGAGTTTCACTCGGCAGCTAAGTTGTTTTGCGTCTCGTGGCTTAAATCCCTCGCTATGTTCAGGATTTAATACAAGTACTCGCGTCAAACAACAACTTTGCAGCCTTGTATAACAAATAACGATGTCTTGACTTTGGGCCATAAATAACTTGACTGCGGGGCATAATTAACTTGACTTTGGGCCATAATTAAACTTCACTTTGGGCCATAATTTACGTAATTTTAAGCCACGACTGACGTTATTCCGGGCCCAAGTAAACCATAAAACCGCTACCACAGGCTTCAAGGCCTAAGTCGTGAGCTGTCTTCGCTGATGTCACTGAGGCTCTGTCTTCACTTTCAGATCCAATACACCATCTGTAAATTCAAACTTATATAAGATTATCATATTCATATCTTTTTTGTGAACATTCTCCACTTCTTTTTATCGTACCGATGGCATACAGTTTAATCGTAATGTATTTTCTGATAAATGAAACAAAATCTGTTAAAAAAACCGAAATCGTTTCGGTTAAACAAAACTCTGTAAATCATGATACTACCTTGTGATAGGTAAAAGGGCTCATTTCGACGGCTCCTACGTAAAACATCGTATGTCGAAATTGCCAAGTTTACAGGGGAGCGTTTTAAAGTTTTGAATTCTCTGAAATGAGTATAACACGTGACTAGCATTATTAGTTTTATTCGGCAATGCTCGTTACTCACATAGAGTATTATAAAATTCTAGATATCGGTTAGATGATCTATTAGATGATCACTCTATGTGAATAACGAGTGAATTCAGAACTTTAAAACGCTCCCCTGTAAACTTGGCAATTTCGACACACGATGTTTTCGTAGTAGGGGTCGATTTATTTGACACAAATTCCATCGCGCTCACGCCGCGCGGAAACCGCGTGCATCTGTCACGGCAAAATACGCTCTATTTATTTAGTTTTTACGTTTCAACTTAAATGATAGTCCCGGGCGCACGGGCAAGTATGGCTTGTCTTTGGTCTACGAGGCTACCGCGCGGCGACCGCGCAGTTGTATTCTTCCGAGGAATTTAATTGTTGTTGTCTAGTAAATAGAATTCAGATTCGCTATGAATGTACGTAAAAGCGTGATAACTGGGAGGTCGTGTAACTGGGCGCAAAAGGGTAACTTGACACAAACACGCATTTCTTTATATACAAAGATTAAACTTGATAAGACTTGAAACCACGTCCATGTTGCAACGTCGCGTTGCTCTAACCATCTGAGCCACGGGTCGTTACAGCTAGTGACATCTAGTGAGAGATTTTTGAATAACGTTCTCACAGCGGCGACGAATGCCGAAAAGTATTATTACATTTCACAAAAAATCTCAATAAATACGTTTGATCCAAAAGGGACATCTGCGTCAGTTGTGATACCTGTAAAGGTATCGGTTGCAGTGAGAAGGTTATTCGAAAATCTCTCACTAGATATTACTAGCGGCAACGAATGCCGAAATGCCAGTACAAAGATCTATAACAAAAACACATAGGAGAATTTTAACGACTCGGTAACGGTGGATTCAAGTCCCACCGGGTCGACGAAGTTTTTCTGTGTGTTCGATCAATATCCTCATAATCATAACAAAAGTAATGGAGTTGTTTCACAAAAAATCCCAATAAAAACGAATTTCTTTTTTCCGAATCTCATTTTTTTTTCAAAGCCCCGCACTTGGCGAACCCAGTGTCGCGGGTGCACTCAAACTCACGAGAGAGAAATCAATGTAGGCCATACAAATATTTCTCCCGGCCCGGGATTCGAATCCAGGACCTCTGCGTGGCAGTCCGGCATGGTAACCGTTCGGCCACTGAGGTATTATTCCACACACGGTTCGTTTTTTTGTTCATTAGTGCCATGATATAAATTTGTAATACAGAAATACAGCAGAAGTATATTCCGTAAATGATGTTTCTAGCTTGTGATAGGTAACCTAACTCTTCGAACGGTCATAGTGACTTGTCTCGAACGGTGACGGTGGAACTAAATTGTTTAAAACTCACCATCACTCTCCATGCAAGCGTAAGCAATCCTCCTTGGAGCTGACTGCTTCCTCCCATGACTCTTTCTCTTGTTGACTGACAAATTCAAAACTTCATCATTGCCATTCATTCCCATACACTTCTCGTTATTCACATTTGTAGAATTTATACTCTGTATAACCGTTTTACTCTCTATGACTTTGACATTTGAATTTCGTTCATTCGTTCGTTCACTTATGAAGACGGTCTTGGCGAATATCTTCTTGTCTCTCTCACTCCTGTAGATGTGATTAACGGAGTTTTGTACGATTCTGTCGATGCGACACTCGAACATATGTTTGTCCCTGTCTAACTTGTTGGTAAGGCAATCTGATAGAACTGGTGTCTCTGTCTTTTTTGGATTCTCTTTTGTCGGAGATTCTGTGATTCGAGCGAGGTCTAGTGATGGTATTTCTGTGGTGTCACAGCGTTCTTCGAGCGACTGCAAAACGATAAATACAGTTAGTAAACCCTTATGGCACTTTTGCGTAATTTTCAAGTTAGTATTCTCCACCTAATTTCGGTGGCAATTTTTATTGTTTAAGAGTCGAGACCACAGCTCGCAATTAAATTTTTCCCGTAATGCATCGGTTCATTTTGCTTGGTTCGTGCGGCAAAGGCACTGGCTTTATTTGAGAATTAAATTTTTTTACAATTTTTTTATGTTATATTTAGTTCAGTTCATATAAAAAAAAAAATTGGTATATGTGAAGTACCTATTGAATACAGTGGTTTTCTTGTAAAATTTCGACGAAAGTTTGTGTTTTTTGTCTACCGAGAAAATTTTTGGAATCTTGTTTTCACACCGTATAGTAATCAGTGTATATCCTTAAGAGGGAGCAGAGGAAAAATTCCTAATCTTCGATTTGATTTTAGAGGGGTATATCCACTTTAAAGTTAAAAATAAAATATTGTATGAGTAACTACACGATATATTCAAGCATAGACATTAATCAGAAACATAAAATAATAAAGTTTCCTCGAAAGATAAAAATCACGAAATGACCTCTAATTTTCACATTTTTTCGATTCACTTTCGAAATGCTACAGGTTATTAGGACAAAAATTAGATAATTAATTATATTTATGCATGATCGACAACTGTCACTACGGATTTTTTTTAATCCCTTTAGTTTTAATGTATTCCGCTAAAACGAATTTGGTACTTTTAATGCGCAAAATTCAACATCTCCTGTCGCATGTCACGCGAACTTCAGGCATATATTTGTTTCACAAATTTGGGCGGAGCCAACGTCAAAACTTTTCTGGCATGAGAGCTCTTACACTGAGGGTTGTATTCCAGAACTCTACACAATGCTCAAGTCAGGATCTGAGTATGATTTCAAGCACTGGAAATACGACTCTAATGGCAGGGACTAGAGTATGATTGTGCTTTAAACCATACTCAAATCCTGACTTGAGCATTGAGTAGAGTTCTAGAATACGACTCTTACACTGTTTTGTGGAATCAACTAAAGCCATTTGAGGTTGTATAGATATTAAGTATTTGAGTATATTATCATGAAATATTGAATAATATATCCGGATACCATAATCGAATGTTAAATAGTTCTACATGACAATATTCTGATTAATTAGTGAAATTACGATCACATGGGACTTGTCAACTTATGTCTCAGGCTGACGGGCGCAGTGGCAGTGCCCCTGAGATCTTTGCGATTTAAAGCTCTGAGTGGCACTGCAACTGTTATGGACAGGCGTGTAGCTTTCCGTCAGGCGCACGACTTGTTCGTCCGATCACTTGATATTAGAAAAAAAAACTATTTTAAAGCTATTTTATTTATCTGTAGCCGATGAATCGCTTTTTAACCGACTGGTAAAAAGAGGAGTCCTCAATTCGACTGTATTTCTATTTTTAAGTTTTGTACGTATGTTACGCGATAACTCCGGATTCTATTAGTGAACCGATTTTGATGATTCTTTTCTTTATTGGAAAGAGGGTGCCTCGGTAGCGGTCCCGTTTAAATTTGAAAACAATATTCCACCACGAAGAGTGGCAAAGTAGAGGGGGATGAATCCGATTTCACGCACTTTCCGGTAACCGTTTTCTTTTACTTTTGAGGTCGGTTTCCTTTAGTATCCAGTAATGAGATATTATTTCTCTGTAGTCGATGAGTCGCTGTAACATTTGATAATGTTTCAGGCCCTATTTGTTACTGACCTGTGCAATGTACTGCCTCAAAGCGGTGCATGTGTCCCTCAACGCGTCTCTCTGAAGCGTCAGGGATCGCCGCTCGGCGGTGGCGTCGTCGCGGCACGCTCGCAGCGCGCGCAACTCACGCGCAAGGCGACGGAGATGCTCCATACTGCGGCGGCGGCTGTTTTGCGATGCAAGCTGAAAATTGGTGGAGAAAGAACACTTAGAGATTTCAGACATCATGGGCAACCAATGAGATTAGGTAGCACGTAATTAGGTAAACATAACAAGATTCTGGAACGCGCCTCACAACTTGAGTGCCTAAATAATAGCAAACTACCTCCGAATGGTTCCCAGACTGGGTGTGGGTGACAGGCAGCGGCGAGCGGGTGAAAGGGAAGGTAGTGTTGCCAGAATACCATGTTACATATAACATGGTATTCGCACACAAAACGCATACGTTTGAGTTGTGTTTTAAGTATTTTTCTCACCGCACACAAAACACAACTCAAACGTATGCGTTTTGTGTGCGGTGAGAAAAATACTTAAAATAAATGTTATTAATTAATCAATGTAATAAATTAGAGGGAACTAAAATGATACACAACGGCGCAACTAGTAGGGATATCTATTTTGACGTTATTTCAATTATTATTCAAAATACTTATTAATAAAAGCTTTAATTATATATTCCGGTATCATTGTACTATATTAATATTTCACGGCTTCTTATAATCAACAAACACTTGAAAAATCATTATTCTAAATACGTGCAGCGACCGCGCTTTCGATTTAATCATAGTGCCGAAGGACGATTCTCATCACTAAATAGAGCTTGTGACGTCATCAGAGGCACAAAAATGTGGCACGCTTGGTTTTCATACAGATCACGGTACGTCGTCTAATAAACAAGGCAAAAGATCAATCTCAGATTAGAGGACCGTACCAACTAAACAAGTGGCTATATTGCAACGTATATCATGTTGCATGGTAAACCACATACGATTGAATAACTGTAGATTTGTTTGTAGTAAATTTGTAGTCTTATTTTGCATACGATGACAATAAAATACAAAGGAAATAATATACTGCGTTCAATGATGCAGCATTTCGTCGTCTTCTTTTTGTTTAAGTTTGTTGCTTATTGCCAGGCGCAATAGAACTTGTTCGTCCCATCACTTGATGTCATAAAAAAAAAGAAAGTCAAAACAAAATTAAATCGAAAATCTCTCTTTTGCGCGGCAGCTGAGAGTTTTTCCTAATGAATGCAGGAGTTGCGAGTTCAGAGCGTCCATTTTTTGGTCCATTTGGGTAGCATTAGGCTCAATGTCATTTGGAATTTCACGCGTTTTAAAACATTTTCTGAATCTACTATTTAAACCAGATAGATTCCCTTCACGGTTAACAGAGAAAGAAGAAGAAATGGAAGTGCCTTAAGCCTTTTTTATAAAAAAAACAAGTGAGCATTTGACCTTCGCTCATCTGATGGAAAGTCACGATGAAGTCGACAATGAAGCATGCACACATGTGAATAAGTCTGCAAGCAGGTAATTCCACTCTCTAGCCGCTCGCCACATAAATGTGGAAACGAAACTCTTCGTGCGAAACCTGGGAATATCCATAACATAGGGGTAGAACCCCAGCTCACGTCTAGTCGCCCGATGATGGAAAGTGGAAGGCGGTATCAAATTATGCAATCACATCGCACACGTTCCGTAATATATCCTTAGTATACCAAAAACTAAGCAAAGGTGTTCAAGGCTCTGCAACTTTGCCCCTACTAATTCCGAGTCACCTACAAGCCTCATGGCACACTTGTCAATTCAATCGAAGGTTGCCAGTTGGAATTCAGCAGAGCCATGCCATAACACCAGTACTCCATACACGTCCGGAGTTGTGCTTGGTACAGCTGAAGAAACTGTGTGAAGTAACGCCTCACCTTGGAAAGGATGCCAAGCTTCCTGGTTGCATTTTTGGCCATGGATTCAATGTAACTGCCTAAGTTCAGATTGGACGACAGGTCTATTCCAAGTAGCTGAAGACGGTCGGTTCGATTACTATCAGGACCGCTGTCGCCAAAACTCTCACATTCATTATTTGAAACACTGCGACATCACACACTATTTCTGCCGCCACGCAGTAATGTGAGCTTTATTGCGTTTCGGTTTTGAAGACTGCTGGTGAATCTAAGTGAAATTTAAAGATCTCAGCGGTACTACAAGTATCATAGACAGATGTGTCGCTTACCAACCGCACGATTTTATTAAAATTAAATAATACTTAACTATGATATGAAACATTACCATAGATAATATTACAAGTGCGATTATAATATTTGCACACCAAAGTAGGAAAATAAGGAATATTCGAGGTTTTACGCGAGATAACTGACACGTACAAAGCGAAAATGACGGACTGAGCTCAAGTATGTGGAACTTCGCGCACTGTTGGCACACGTACCATGCAAACTTAGCACTTGCACTGTACTTATTGTTCTCTGATAATAATCAATATTACATACCCGATTCTTAATCCTTCTTCTCAATCCTTTCAGGAAGGCAAGGTCATCCTCCGTAAGGTGCAGCTGCTGTACTCTCTCCGCATACTTGACAGTGGTCAGCCCGGCTACTTCATCAACCGTCATGTTGATGCCTCGGGCTGGAATAATAACGTTAATCATCATCGTTCTATGAGATACCATCACCTTATTGCAGTTCCCTTATTGAGATAGACAACAAGAAGAGCTTGGGCAGTGTGCTGAGGAATCATGACCTGGAAGTTGACATAGTAGCTGTAGATCTTCTTGTGAAACAGTTCGTCTGTGGAAGTACTGCCACTTACCTATTTCTGCCGCCAAACAGTAATGTCAGCATTACTGTATTCCGGTTTTGAAGGGCAAGGGAGCTGGTAAAATTACAGGCACATGGGACTTCAACTTATGTCTCAGGGTGACGGGCGCAGTGGTAGTGCCCGTCAGATCTTTGCAATTTAAAGCTCTGAGTGGCATTGTAATTGGTATAGACATGTATGTTATATACTACGTTTTATTAATGTTGTTTAAGAGTGTAATCTGTTCAATTTGTACACAGTTCAGCTGCTTTGTGCACCATACTGCCCTTCATCTATACTTCCGTAATAATTTGTAAGGTTGCCTGGAAGAGATTGCTGTCTGGCGATAAGGTCCCCGACTGTACCTTCTAACTATGTTTTATATTGTCACTGTTTTTGTTTTGTGTGCAATAAAGCTTATTCTATTCTATTATATTCTATGACGGGCAACGGAATTAAAGAACGATTCAAAATTTGAAAACAAGTGGCCAGGAACTAGGGAAAAGGTGATAAAAAGGCGGAATTAGTGAGTATTCTGCCACCAGACGTGACACGTCACACCACCGAATAGAACAACACGGCATTGTTACAGATATTATCTTTATTACAATAAATACAGAATATTTCTGGAATACATATACGGAGACGTACACACAGGTCAGTTCTTGACGTCGTCTATATTTCAGTGCAAACGAGAGATGATGATTTATAAGTGATGTATCACTGATGAGTTACCAGGAATGCATGGCCCTTATTTCGTCTCTATTTCTGGTTATACACTCATGCGCAGCGGTGACAAGTAACACCCTATCATCTGCGTCATGGTAAAGTGGAGACCACGACTGGAAGAACACAGATCGCATGATATCGATCAGATGGTACAGTGGATCCCGATATAGCAGCAACTTTCTGCACATTGAGGAAATAACAAACATAGGAGAAAATCAACATGTCGTCTACCGAGTGCAAAGTGGTTTCCAGCCCGCTTGGTGAAAAAGAAAAAGAGAAAATTATAATCGCACAACTTCTGCTGACAACTGTCGTAATCATCGCTCCCACTGATGCTGTTTTCTACACGTCTTTTTTATAAATCTAAAGGGTCGTGGCACCGTCTTGTTGAAACCAAATGTTAGTGATATCCATATCATCAATAATAGGCAAAATTGAGTTGTTTACATCTCTCGATAGCGTAATCCATTGACCGTAACCGCATTTCCAGCCGAATTTTCGAAAAAAAAACGGCCCAACGCCAACGGGCACAAGTCACACAGCCACCAAAACAATGAATTTATTGCAAACCAAATTTCCCGGAATTAACATAATTTCACGAAATTCAGCCGTTTTGAGGGTAGCTCGATCATGTGATTTAACACCGCTGGATTCTTTTTTATGGGGTTATGTTAAAGACAGAGTCTAAACGGAGCCAATCGAATCGATTGCAGCCTTAAAACTCAAAATTCGTGAAGTGATTAACGAAATAGAACCACCATTTTGTCAAAAAGTGATTAAAAACTTTGATGAAAGAATCGACATCTATAATTGTGGTGGACATTTATCAGATATCATTTTTCATTAATAATTGCCAAACCTTACTTTTTAAATACAATAAAAATTTGACTCATTGTCATTTAAATTTATTGTTTTATTTTGATTTACAAAACAAAGTTGAAGAACCCTTTACAACACCGCCAACTCCAGTTTCCTCAAAACAAAATAATCGCACCAGAAGCATGGTCGCCGCGCGCCCCGCATGCTATAGCCACGCAAACCGCGCCCATGATAAAATAATATTAGTAGACTACACCGTTGACGTGTCACCGAAAATCAGAATACCAAAAAATTGCAATGGCAGTTGAATAATAGCTCACAACTGAGATGATTTAAAATTATCAGAATTGACGCGCTGGATGTTGATATACGAGTATACAGTTGCAAAGTTGATGCGCTAAATCGTAAACTCGGGGACATTCTACTTAATTTTATTGAATAATTTGTGACTTTGCCTACCTTTTGAATACCTGCGTATTGAGTTGTTATATTTATGTAAGTCCATGTAGTTAAGAAATATTGTTTATTGTTCGTTTGTTTAATGCTCGTATATGATTCGTCTGAAGCTAAAACTTGTGTTATGGAAATCGAAAACAACGACGGTTCCACAAGCACCCAGACCCGAGATAATATAGAAAAGTTACTTTCTACTTTAACCCTGCCGGTAATCGAACCCGGGATCTCAGAGATGACGACATAAAAACCGGCATACAAAACTTTATTGAAATTACACATGTGATTAGTCAACTTATGTCTCACGGTGTCGGGTGCAATGGCGGCGCCTCTCAGCGCTTTGTGATTTAAAGCTCTGAGTGGCACTGCAACTATTATGGACAGGCGTGTCGCTTACCATCAGGCGCACGACTTGTTAATCCCGTCACTTTAGTTTTTATTTTAAAAAGACTCAACCACGGAAGTCATACATACAAATACATTAACAGTAATGTATATAATATGGTTACCTACCAGTAGTACGAAATGACATTTTACAGAAATAGCGTTTGCTCGAATTTTCATAACCTCGAAAGTAATTTTGAGAGGAAAATGTTTTTTTTTCTATTAAACCTAAGTTAACCGAACCTAATCGTGTCATTCCTATAAACACTCAACATATCCTGAAAGAACAACGGTTTGGTTATGATTCGGTTTTCGGTATAATGAAAATTCGAAGAAACTTTATGTCGGAAATTAAAATCGAGTTTGTGATAGGTTACCATATAACATATTCACAATAACGTTAAATAATAAAAAAAATGCCTTCACTTACTGGGTTGGCTTATACTTGGTGGTTAACATACATAGTTATAATTAACCACGCCATTCACAGATTAAATTAATTATTGAGTCACTGATTCGTTTCAGCTTGTTACCACCCACTAGGCCTCCATTCGCTCCGGTTACTTTCTTTCTTACTACTAACATTCCGATCCTGTGTGTCTCTGCTCGAGGTTTTGCCTGCGAATATTGCTATGCCGTCTAACTGGCGCACGTTCGGAAAATACAGATTTTTTCATCATGCCCCCGGCCACCACTCCGTCGATTAGGGATGGGTATCGATTAATCGGAATAATCGATATTTTTGTGGAATAATTGGTATCTTTTTAATCGATGTCATTTGGTTCGATTAATCGGATAATCGATGATTTCATAACGATTTTTGATAAAATGTAAAACTATTTAAAAATATTTTAAACACGTTAAAATTTTGAAAAAGAAGCTCTTAAATTAAAATGTTCATTTTATTCAGGCGACTTTCGAAAAATGAGACTTGCGCGCAATGCCGTCGCACCTGAAAAATTATTTACATAAGCTAATCATAAAATTTGTCTCCACCGCCTTTGAAAAATTTATAACTAATAGGTACTGGTGTTTAAACCTTCTCCTATTCCTATTCTCAAAGAAAAAAAGACTTACTTACTTGCGGTTCGTTGTTTTCATTTCATTTTAAAAAACGCTTTTTCTCGATTATTCGATTTTTTCAGCCTCGATATAGAACATGAAACAAATACTGTCACAACTCAAAACTTGTCCCTATCTATTGACCCAAGAGACTATGGGCTCGCTGGGAAGACCAGGGTACAGCGGGCGTTTCTGGTGGACCCGGACTTGGGTATGGACTCGCTGGGGTTTGTGGTGAGCTGCAGAGACTGGATGAAGGCAGTGACAACGGTCTGTGACAACACTGTACACTGGCTGATTGATGTGGGGTCAGAACCTGAACTTAGAAGTTTCCTGTGCACACACAGGTTATAGTGCCCTTCTCATATACCTCAAGGGTCGGTAGGGAGGGTCACTATAATCAAAACCTATGTAGAAAGACATGGGGCTGTCGTAACTCAAAATTGTGGAAATGAGAAAACATAATTTTAAAATGTTTAAAAATATTGAATGGATCTTGTTGTGAGTAATATGATGGATGGAGTAACAGGATGCAGGAGTTTACAAGCTTGACTGTGAGTGCGGTCTCTCTTATATTGGACAAACAAAACGAAGTATTTGTACCCGCCTCAAAGAACATATAGCTGATGTCAAACACCGTCGCGTAAACAAGTCTGCAGTCTGCGATCATGTCATGGATAAACCTACACATTCAATGAAGTTTGACAAAACTCAGGTCCTTGCAAAAGAAGTCCGTTATCTACCCACAATGCTGCGAGAGGCCATTGAAATTAAAAAACATCCTAATTTCAACAGGGAAGATGGTTTCTCCATACCACCAGTTTGGGATCCAGTATTTCCTCTAATGAAAAATCCCAAACAGACATAAGACTGCAGTACTAATTAATATGTTTTAATTTATTCTAATTTCTATTATTACTTAATAATAAATTGAACTTAATAAAAATTCATTCAATAAAATAATTTATAAAACTTAATGTAGCATAAATTGGAATGTTTTCTCTATACAATTAAAAGTAAGGCATTTAATTAATAACTATTGTAAGTATAGTGAAAAAGTAGGGTGGTTTGCATCAATATTAGACATAACTGGTTGAAGACTGTACCACCTCAGTCAACCGTGACCATGGGACCTGTAAAGGGCCCGCAACGTCGGTTTGTTTGAAAAAACAAATTAATGCTATTTAAATCCAGAAAAATAGTTTCATTTCCAATATGATTATTTTTATTAATATGTTATACTTAATTATCCAATCGTAAATGAGAATATATACAAGGTTATTTGGAAAATATGTACTACAGCACTGTATCACTAACATCATAAATGACAAATTTTGTTCTCTGTATTTTTATAATTCGTCGAATTTAACATTCATACAAAAATAACAATATTTTAAAAGTGTCCCTGTCCCAAAAGAATGGGGATTTTTGGAAACCATAACAATTTTAGAAATCGTTAAAAATTTTCAGTACAAAATACTCTCTTTACAGACGAGAAATCTCCTGTAGCCATGCTCTACCACACACCCAATGTGTTACAAAAACAAATTAACTTTTGATAATATTTTTGTGAATTACAGCTTAATTTGTTCTTGTAGAAAATATTTTTTTTTTTTAATTATGTTATTATTACGCATTTGTGTATTATGTTGTTATTCCACTGTAACATGCAATGTATCGGAAGTATTTTGCGTCATACGAAAGACCTGTTGCATACTAAGAAATTTAAGTTTCATATTACAGTGTCAGATAACTGGTGTTACAGCGCTTACCATCCAGAATTTCCTGGTCCAACTGATAGGACGAAGCCTGTTTCCCATTATCGTCCATTCTTCATATTTGTAAAGTTGTTTTTATGTGGATTATTTCAATTTTATTTTCTTATCAAAATCAGTATAGGTTAGGTTCAGGTTTGTAGCTGTCAATGTCAAAGTTGTCAGCTGCAGGCACTGTTGGGTAATTTTCCGAAAAGATTCAAAGAGTGGTTTTTTTTCCGGAAATATGAAAATTTTTCTTTGGCTCATATTATGTTCTACGTTTAGAAATATCTTTTGAAGTTTTATTCAGCGTGAATTATAAAATAAACTTGAATAACTAAAACCCACAGAAAAACGAGATTTAAAATGATTTCACAACGGCGAAAAAAATCCTCTAACAACCACACTACTTGTTGTTGGCTCCATTTTCTTCTTCTTCTTTTAAATGTTATGGCTCCATCGAAATAATCAATGATTTTGCCAATGTCAAGTAAAAATAACTATGTACGGTAGTTTAACATTAATTTCTTAGAGGATGGACCAGTTACTTCAACTTTTGACAGGTGTCAACGTCAAAAATCGTCAATCGTGGAAAGGAAAAATATTGGAAAAATATCCAGAAAAATGTGATTTTTTTTCATAATGGATAATTTTCCATGACCCAACACTAGCTATTTTTTAATCTGGCTGCAGTATATATGTATGGCAGTCAGCCATGCATGCAGAAGACTGCTCATACCATAAATTAGAAAGGTATCATACACTACTACACACTGCCGCCACGTGTGGACTTCGCAGGACCTTCGAGGATGGAAAAAATCCATACTCTAAGCTGAGGACGCATTGCAGGATTGCAGGATGACATACTGCTACTTAGTTTCCATAGTCTAACTGCTACTACATTTATAATCCTGCATTACGTTGTGAATGGCTAGACGGACTGCAATGCAGGATAATGAATGCCCCAGTTTAGAGGTGCGAATTACGTTATCTAATTTCCATTTAATATAATAATATAGTGAATTTATATAAATATAACACTTAAAATAGCTTCAATTTACAGAGCAAATTTAAAAAATATAAGTGATATGTTGAAAATAAACCGATATTTTATTTACGGAAAAAAAAATCGGATCAAACGCTCGGATACACATACATGTATCATGAATAACAAGTTGTAAAGGAATGTCTGAAAATAATTTTTATAAAAATGTTAGTTTACGTCGTTTACTACGCAATAATGTGTACTATCAAAAGAAGAGACAGTTTCTATAGCTTGGCCTACAGGCAAAATGGAAATTTATGTATTTCATTAATTCTTTTTTGGGTTCGCATTACAAGCGTGTATTTGAACATTTTTGTTTTCTTTTTCACAGATTTGATTTGATTTTGTTGACACAAACTAATGAGATACGTTAACGTAAGACATGGAATAGCGTTACATTTCTATCGCCGTGACTGTCGTTCCGGTTTCCAAAAATCACAGTGATAAATCATCGTGATGTTTTTTTTTTTTTTTTTTTATTAAAAATGGACGTATTCTTGACCACTATGTTGTCACGACTCTTACTTCCGTGACCTTGTCACGCCTATAACTTACTTCACGATATACGGTTTTAGCCAGCGGCTTCTTTCTAATACTTATAGCCGTTATTTATAGAATGATTTAAGTTTTTACTCCCTTTATAATAAGTTTCAATTCCATTCAAAAAGTTGATTTTGTATTTAATGTAATTTTGTTTGTTACTTATTTAATGCGAATCTTTGGATTGTTAAAAATAGCAATAAAGTGTAATGTAATTATATTTCTAGTAGAATACACAAAGTAGATTATTCATAAATATAAAATATCAACTCTTCTTATAATAAAACAAATACACAAAAATATTTTACTTTGTTCATAAATAGGTTTATAATAACTGCTGCAGATTTTAATCATCCGCCTTTTCTAGTAGTAATAAGTACCTATGACCCTTGTGAGTGAGTAAAGAAAGTCATCCTATTTCGATCACTCCCATTGCCGAAATGGCCCGATTTGAAGAGATCTACAACGAGTGGCGCGCTCAGTCACCATGGAACAGAGATCGCGCATTGTATCAAATACGTATGTCGTGATCGGGGATAGCTATTGGAACGGAGGAACACCTATGTGACTTTGGAACGTCGTTCCTTCGGAACGAGTCACGGTGATACTGTCTGACGGCGGATGTAGTCTGTGGATACGTTGTTGAGCATGAGTTGAGTGAGTGGTTTTTCTTTGTTGCTAGTATTGATCGAATTTTGCCTGTTTGTGCGCGCTGGATTTGTTTGTCCTTTTTAAGGAAAACTCCTACCAAGCCAGGTGAGTACTCTCTATTTGTTACAAATTACATAAATACCGTGAAAAATTACTTCGGCTTTTTTACTTCGGTCACAACAAAAATATTTGAAGAGCGACATTGTCTGTCAGAGTTAGCGGCCAACGATCATTTTTCAAAAATTCTGTCAAGATAGTACGTCTAATGTTGTTATCTAAATTGTGTTCTTCGCGAATTTTACAATTGTTACTTTATTTTTGCTAGAAACTTTGTGCTTACATTTCTAACCTAACTTTTACGTTTGGAACCAACTTTGAATAACAAAGGTTAGTCGTTAATATATTTTCTGTTTGTATAACCTCATATTCTAGAATGTCATTCCCACATTTACAATGATTTCCGAAACCGGTTTTTATTTATAAAAAACCAGTTCTTTGTTCCATAACACAGGACGCGCTAAACACGTTTTCGGATCCATAGTCATCAAAATCTTTAAAAAGTAATCATTATTTGAATTACTGGAATAGAAATATTTTTTTATGGTATATTTATACTTGGAATTTTTTTTTTAGGAACACATCATGCTTTTGATTTAAAATTGAAAACTTATCTGCAATACCTTAAAAAAATTATCTTTAACCTGTTCATGAACAGGATTTACATAGTACTGCGCTCTTTATTAAATCAATATAATAATTACCGTTTATTACTGACTGCTCATCCTGTCGACATTCATAGTCATACTGCTATAGCATTTTCAACATGTTTACTGTATGAACGAAAAACGGCTATGACACTAGTAAGTTGTTCGGTTAAAACCTTTAGTAAAGGAAAACCAAAAAATTAAATGATGAAGTAACAACAAAACAAATATATGCTGTTCCAGTTTTGAAGGGTACAGGGTGCTGGTGAAATCACGTGCCCCTCAGATGTTTGCTATTTACAGCTCAGAGTACAACGAGCAACTGTTATGGACAGGCGCACAAATTCCATCAGGCGCACAATTTGTTTGTCCAGTCACTTATTATCCTTATAAAAAAAACAAATATTGAAAACAAGATATTTAGAGAAAAAATCATTAAAACTTAGTTTTGCTGTTAGAAAGTTTCAGGGCGAAATCAAAATACCTATGCACGTAAGACAATCGCTGGTGAAGCACTGACACTGGCGGCCTCATATCACCTCATACAAATACTTTTAATATCCGCCACACGTGTCTTAATGCACAAATCTTTATCCATCCATAAACATGTTCATGTTAATAATTTAATTTTGTCAGTATGTTGTTCATACTTTCCCATGGAGAAGCAGTAATTTGCAGCTAGAAAATACTTGGAAATAGCACTGTAAATTATGAAATTGGTTTTTTGAGATCTATAACGGGTTACCTCCATACTTTAGTTGCTTCCATAGTATAATGTCCTATGGGATTCTCATGGGGTAAAGCGGCAGATATTCAAACCATATTTATATTGCAAAAACTAGCAAATCATTCTGTGTGCCATCTAGTCAGGTTTCTCTCAGAGAAAAGTTTAAGGAGACTGGGTATCGTGACTATGGCATCACAGTACATTTACTCAAATATTTTATATGGCTGTAAAAATATACATAATTTCAATAAGAAAGAAGATATCTATAATATCAACCTAAGAGCTAAGTCGAATCTCATGGTACAACAATTGTTACTCTTGTTATGGGGAACTATACGTTTTTGCAATAAGATTCTGGAGCATATATTAAGATTATCATTTCCTAAATAAAGTCATATTACAAAATTGAAGAATGAAGAATATGTGTTAGATAAAGATGTATCGAAAGACGACACGGCTCCAGAATCCACACAAATTAGATTCAAAGTATATTCCATAGCATTTATGTTTATTTGAAAAGAGCAATCCCTCCAGTTTCTTGCTCATTCTTCTTAGGAAAATCAGTGTAGTGCACGAGCAGTAGCTTAATGTAATGTAAATGTGACGTTTTCAAGTGTAAATTTATTTTACCTAAATAAATGATCTTTGATATTGACTTTACCTCATACTGTTATGTTCTGATGTTACTGCTGTTATTTTCTATGAACAGGTTAATGAGTTTACTGAAAAGGAATCTTTTTGGATTCCTTTTTTTATTTTGAACTGAAAGTTTCTTTGCCTTTTATTATAGAATCATTATCTTAAAGCTTACAGCCATTCATCGAGCGGCCTGTGAGTTGAGTATATGAAACGAGCTTACAACGCCCTACGCTCGCAATATAATAACGCTTTCAGGATGCTGTTGGGACTACCAAGATGGTACTGTGCGTCAGGCATGTTCACAGAGGCTCAAGTAGACGGCTTCCAAGAGATAATGGGGAAGAATATAGAATCGCTTATGACTCGTGTTAGAAGTAGCCACAACAGCATTCTAAAAAATTATTGGTCTATTAACCCATTCACGCAGTAACGGCATTTACTGTAAAATTAAATTTCAGAATATGATACTACAGGGTACCCCATTCCACCATAAAATTCTCATAAGGCCAACTACAGGTTTTTAGTGCGATTTCCAAGCACTTTCTGTGTAGTTTCTTTCTATTTCTTCTCCATAGAGAAGTGTCAACATTGTACTGTCGAAATACATTGAAAATTTTATATTGAATCAATATATAAGCACTTGCCCAGCTGTGTCAAAATGGGCTTATAAAAAAAGTACTACGGCATGACTTCGGCAATAAAAGTAATGACATTTTTGTGTGAGGTATTTTCAACTACTGTATATGAACGGGTTAATAAAATGGATTTGTTTTTGTTTTTGAACTTTTGAGCTTTTTTGTCGTTTAAGTAAACATGCCATACTTTTATTTCTGCCACGAAATAGTGATGTGAGCATTACTGCGTTCTGATATTTCAATGGTAAGAATGCTGGTATGCTGGCACCTGGGACTTGTCTACTTATGTCTCAGGTTAACGGGAGCAGTGGTAGTGCCAGTGCCCCTCGTGTCTTTGCGCTTTAAAGCTCTGAGTAGTACTGCAACTGCTAGACAGGCGTGTCGCTTACCATCAGGGGCACGACTTGTTCGTCCTGTAACAAGGTGCGTTAAAATGAGTTATTGAATAAACTCAGTACTGAGTACTAAAAAAAACCGATCTGAAAAGTTCGTAGAATTACATCTATTTGCCAAGTTTTATTGAAATTGGTTACCGGAAAGTGCGCTAAACCGGGTTCATCCTCTAGTTTAAAATCAGTGTTCAACCATTGTTCTAATAAGATACTTTTTGGATTCGCCATGACTAGAAACTGAAATAAAGAGCAAAAAAGGATAAAATATGTCACACAAAAAACTTACGTATCTACAGTCGTGGGTCCATTGTACCCACGTGTAAACCATTACTCACGTTTGGAGCAGCGAGAAAAACACGTCCATCTCATAGTGTGCGCTTTGGCGTGACATCGGAAGGTATTGAGGAGTAGGAAGAGCTGCGTCGCCTACAGCAATTCCAACTCGAGTTTAAAGAAAGAAGCTGGGCCCATTGGACCCACGACTATAGTTAAGGGTTAAAATCTAAATTTAAGGAGGTTCACCATGTAACTTAATGGTAATGTCGCTCCGTAATGCTACTTAATTTACACATCTAACCTAAGACTTAAGACTATATAAATATATTTTGTACAGTATCTTGGCTGTTACACCACCCAGTCTGTCGTATGTTGACCATACTGTCCAACTCTCTCCTGAGGCACACCCCGGACACTCCATACAACGGTCGAACATTATTTACCTACTACTACTACATACAGCAAGGCGCTATCTGCACACGCGCAAATGTGTGCGTGAAGTGGCAGGGTTACCCATCACTTTCTTGCACTATTACGTTACGTGATCAGAGCGACAACATAGCGAAAAATAACGCGAATCTATTATCTATGATTCTATTAATAGAATCCAGAATACTAATAATTACTCATGTCTAATATGTATTTATATCGATATAATATAATATTTTTCATTAATTCACTAACTGCAGTAATATTGAAGATTTATTTAAAAAAAATTATATAATAGCACTTAAAATGTTATATTTTGGACATGTACCGAGGTATTTCAAATTGCGTGTCCAAGTTGATCATCATTACTTAGTTAATAATTAGGTATATTCGCTACTTACGTAATATTTATCTGCAATATGAATTGAAAATTCGAAACCCTTGTCTACTAGCTCATGAAGTCATGGCGCTTCATTATATTGATGTAATAAATGTGTATTTATTATACATACATATATAATAAATGATAATAAATGAAAAAAAAACAATAACTGAATGAGTCTCAGGGTCGTATTCCAGAACTCTACTCAATGCTCAAGTCAGGATCTGAGTATGATTCCAAGCACTGGAAATACGACCCTAATGGCAGGGACTTGAGTATGATTTCGAGTGCTTAAACCAGTTTATTTTTGCTTACTTCGTTTCATCTTTCGCAAAATGATGAGAAACAGCCGTACACAGCACAATTCATGACCATTATAAATAGTAACGTAAAATTATGTTTTATATTAACGTACAAGTTTCGTAATGAATAAATGAAAACTATATTCAAATGTCACAGCCGTCTTCGCGCGAAAACGGCTCGCCGGCAGCCTTGTTGTCGTTCAGTCAATGTGACCGTCAATGTGCGGAGCGTGGTGCGGTATCTAAAGCTAGGGAGGGGCGGAGAATATTCGTTCTCTTTACTTTCTGTTCTCTGTCTGAGTCTCTCATTCCATCAAAACGTGGTAAACGTTTTCAATGACGCCGCAATTGCTACAATAGGGTCTCATTACTTTTTAATTAAGTCACTTTATGTAAAAATTCCAGATACGTTGGTTTTCGCAGTCTAATGACGATTTTTTTTTTGACACCAAGCAACTTGACGAACAAGTCGTGAGCCTGGTGGCAAGCGACACGCCTATCTATAACAGTTGCAGTGCCACTCAGAGCTTTTTATCGCATAGATCTTACAGCCACTGTACCCGTCGCCCTGAGACATAAGTTGACAATTAACATGTGCCTGTAATTCCACCTTAATGTT